GCAGTCATCTTACAGAAGGCTCAGCATTCTTTTGGAACTGGTATTAACAACTTCACTACAGATTCCGCAAGGTTTTGGTCGGTAAAGAAACCACAGCGTACATGGAGAAGTTGAAGGTATCTTCTTGATCAAAAGACGAACGTATAGAACTGAGACAGACATCTGTTCAGACAACTTCAATATTCCAGAAGCAATGGAGCGGTCACAACACGTTGTTCTGTAGCATTAGATTTCAGTTCCTTATATCAAATTGCGACTTTCTTATTTCAGATTGCTATTTTTGAGAAATTAATACTGGGATGTACCAACTGTGTGCGTTCTAAACCGTTCCAGTGAAAAATTTATTGTAAAACATCATGGTACATCTTCCCCAAGATGGCAGGAATTGTTTTTGCCTAACTTTCCTCTTTTGTCAGAAATTTATGACCCTGCTATACTATAATTCTTGCTATTCGTCATATTGTCGAATCTGTCAGTCCTGGTTACCCAGAAGTATTTATTGGTTGTCGGAAAAGTCATGACGCTTTTTTTTGTTTATTTTAAGGCCATTTTATTCATATACAGCACAAACTTCAATCAATAATGTATTGCCCATTTTGATCGATGACCTTTCGCCATCTTTCAGGCAGCTTCATAATTCCTCGCTCGTAGAAGGATTTGTCTTTACCGGCAAAAAATTGAACAAGGTGCTGATGTACAGCTTCATCTGAAGTAAAGCGTATTTCTTGCAAGGAATTTTGAAGCGACCGAAACAAATGAAAATCAGATGGGGCAAGACCAGGCGAGTGTGCTGGATGTGGTAACACATCCCATCCTAACTCCAATAACTTTTGACGAGTGAGCAAACTTGTGTGCGGTCTCGCGTTGTCATGGCGGAACACAAATCCTTTGCGATTAATGAGCTCCGGACGTTTTTGCATGATGGATTGTTGCAAACTATCCAATTGCCGACAATACACAGTTGTATCGATGGTTTGGTTCTTTGGCAGGAGTTCGAAAAACACGTCCCTTTTAAAATCCCACCAAACAGAGAGCATCACCTTTTCCTGATGACTCTCTGCTTTCGCGATCGTGTTACGCGTATCTACACTTCGGGACCAAGACCGTTTGTGAACCACATTGTTGTAAACAATCCACTTTTCATCTCCCGTTATCAAGCGCTTTAAGAAAGGATCGTTTTCCTCACGTTTAAGGAGTATATCGCAGATGTCTACACGCGCCGTCAAATGAACCTCTCTCAGTTCGTGTGGTACCCAACGATCGGGTTTGCTTACGTATCCCAGTTTCTTCAAATGGTCGTGAACGGTTGAATGATGGATTTTAAGGTTTCTGCAATTTCCCGTGTGGTGTAATGTGGGTTTGCTCCTACCAATGCCTTAATTCGTCACTATCCAACTCAGTAGGCCGCCCTGATCGAGGTGCGTCATGGATATCAAATCCCCATCTCGGAATTTTTTAAACCATCTCTGGCATTGCCGTTCTTGTAGTGCATGTTCTCCATAAACCTTTCTCAACTTTTCACACGCTTGTCTTGCGTTCTTGCCTTTGCGGAAGTAATACAGCAAAATGTGACGAAAATGCAGTTTGGTCGTCCATCTTCAACGTCCTCTAAAATCGACGAGACTCAATAAATCACTTAATTTTTGGTGCAAATGAAGCTTGAAGTGTCAACTATCAAACTACACAATCAACATACAAATGTCATTCACTCACGTACTTCCAACCATGCAATTGCATACTTTGTTGCATATACGTTATGACTTTTCCGACAACCCAATAGTTTAAGACGAAACACCTAGGCTTTTTGACTTGGTACACGGATTAATTTTCAGGTGAACTAAACAAATTTTGATTCGTTTTGCTAGAGTGTAATTTTAAGTTTACTTAAAGTTCGCGCTAATTTTTGTACTTGAAGACTTTGCATGTGTGTCTTGGCAAGAAAACACCATGCCGCACGTGCATAAGCAATGGCTGGTCTGCACTGGCATGTATAGTTGATGACTTTTATAAATCACTTGACAAGGGTAATGTTATGTGTTTAATTCTCTTGGAGTTCAGTAACGCCTTTGATATCCTAGATCATATTATATTGTGCATGAAGCTGAAGTACTTTGATTTGCAGATAATGCGGTAAATTGAATAAGGGACTACTTAACTAGTAGGTGCCAATACGTATCGGTAAACTCTTCATCTTCTGACAAAAGAATGATTACAATGGGTGTACCACAAGGGTCCATAGTAGGTCCTTTACTATTTTCTTTATATACTGAGTGACATAGAAATCCGAACACCCAGTTTAAATGATTTTATTTTAATAAAAGTTGGTGAATGTATTATCTTACTGTAAATAACAAGTGAAAAAATTTTCAGCCTTATCAGTTGGACATTCCGGTTTTTATACTGATTTTTTTTTAATTCACTAACGCTCTAAAAATGAATATTTCAGCCGCAGTAAAGAATCAACGTTGGCGGATTTTGGTACTTGACATCCTTTACGATCGGTTACGATGCCTAGAGTACGGAGACCTGTACGATTTCGTCAACTTAGTGAGTTTGATAGGGGCCGTATAGTGGGACTTCGGGAAGCTGGACTTTCTTTTCGGGCAATTGCAGTTAGAGTGCAAAGAAGTGTAGACACTGTGGTTAGGTGTTGTCAGGGCATGGCTTCGAGAAGGCCGTACGCAAAGAGCAAGGAGCACTGGACGCCGCCGTAGAACAACAGACCGTGAGGATCGCCGCCAGAGATTATTGGCCT